TAGTTTGGAAACTGGCAACAGATAACACTTATTTTCTTAAGATAATTGCAACATACAGCTATGGCATTATATCATGTACTGCTATTCTTTGTTTTCAGATAAACACAAGCACGAATGCATATGATACTACTTAATATGTCTGTAATCACTTTAGGCTAAAACTGTGTTAAACTGAATTACCTTCCAAAGATATTTTTTTCTTATATGATGCACAAACCCAACAAGGGAGTGTCAGTTGTGTCAGAAAAGCCCGACCATAAAAGGACTAATGATGCTGCAGCAACTGCAGAGGTTATTTAGCATCAAATAAAATGAAAGAATGATTTTGTACCCAGAAATTGGTGTCTGGGTTCGGATTTGAACACAAAACTTAGGGAATGACAGTCTTTATTCAGCAGAATTTTCTAACCTCTCTATGTCTGTGTCAGAGTCAGGTGGACTAAAGTCCGCTAAACCAGTAGTTGTTGAAGCTGGGCTACTTGGAAGTGAATCTGACTTATTGTACAATGCTGTCATGACAATTCTGTCTTTCCCATCAGGTGAAATCTGAAATAGAGAAAATATAAATATTAATCCTCTGGCATGCTACTTGATTTTGTCTACCTATGTAAAATGAATTCAATTATTTTAAATCAGACACCATAAATTTGATGCACAACTTATATTATAACTATTTTCCAATAAGTAAACAATACTAACTTATATGTGTCAAGTTTTCACAGACATAAAAATATAAAATCTGTCTCTCAAAGAATGACAATGCATTAAACAAGACACAATTATGCCACTGAAGTTTCTCATACATCTAATTCTGTTCCACATTTTACTCTCAGAGATTTGTCAAGGGTCATACAGATTTCAACTGCTAAGTAAGACATATGAAACAGTATACCCAGATACAAGAGAAGCTAATAAAAGGCTTTGTCATTCAATGACCCACTCTAATAAAGGTATCAATAAATGACAATGCAACAGCAAATTGTGTAGACTGTAACATACCTCAGCCCTTGACAGCAGTGTGATTTTTGCCCAGGGTCCCAGGTCATTTTGAAGTGAGAGAGGTGCTTCCAGTCCATGAAATGCAGCAGATGGGATGTCTGGAATACTATGTGTAAATGCTATAGCAAGGTCATGCAACACTTGCATGCCTGCTGGGGTCAGTGTTATATTTAGTTGATCCCTTGCGTCCATCATTATGTAAGTTGCAAGCCGATCTGGTGCCTCTGTCTCCAAACCTGAGTCTATGGAGTCATCTGTTCAAACACAATATTTTCTGGATGTACTTCATTCACTATCACATGAAGTCCATGTCTCTTTCACTTAAGTTGCTGTTTATAGATGTATCTCACACTTGAGAGAACTGCAGACAAATAAGACCTTCAAGTAAAAAAACTAGAACAAAACATTCAATTACTTACTCTGTTTCTTGAGGAATATTGCCCTTTCGTCCTTGCCAATAACAGTGCTTCCACAACTCATAGTTATTTCAGAGGCCTCCTCAGTCTCAACAGAAGGCTCAGCCCCACTGGAATCCTCTGATTCACTTCCTTCTCCATCACTGCTATCTCTAGATGCAAGAAAATTTATTAAAAGTCTACAAAAGAGTCACATCACACACACACACACCTTAAACTTTATCAGCCATGTGTCAATTGTTATGCATGGCCCAATTGGCTGTGTGTACTTGGAAGGGGGGGAGAGGAGACCAGAGGCAGTAAATTCCCTATTCATGTAAGCTAAAAGTTAATAACTGAACTATATTTCTGCCTTTTCAAACCACCTGAGTGCCAGACAAGACCTTGTGACATTACTCTTACAGCTCAGAAGTAACTGACACAAGAATATGGAGCATTGATGTGACAATGATGGCATGGTAAAACAAAATACAGAAGATTCCAGTTAATTGGGCCATCGCTTAATCGGGGCAGCCATTTATTTGGGACAAATGTTAAAGAACAAACCTTTCTTAACTCTTTACATGGAACTTCACATAATCAGGGCAGCCGCTTAATTGGGACAAAGTGTTCTAGTCCTGATGTGTCCCAATTAACTGAATCCACTGTATTTTGAACAAAACCTGCTTCAATGGCATTTTGTACATTACAAATGGGTATCTGGGACCTGGTTCTCTGTCTCCAACTGCCTGAGGTACAACACAGCCACATGGAATTTCTGTATATGAAATGGTTTGGAAAGTATGTTCATGTTTCTTTAGATTGGAATATACTGGGTATTTAATTGCCAGATATCATTTTATTGTTTAACAGACTGGAGGTTTAAGATACATAAATAAATACTTTAATGCAAAGAAGGTCATTAGAAGAATAAAACATTACCCAGTAAATAAATGTCCTATAGCACCTGCAAGTTTTTCCAAGACACCTTCCTCATTTTCTGAATCTGAATCATCAGGATAACCAATTAAGCTCACATTTTCTGAAAATAAACAATACAAGCAGCAAGTAAGAAACCATAATTCTGAAAAGCTATCGATAATGATGGAAATCAGGATTCTATGGAAATTTTCTAACCATCAAACTACTTAATTAAATCTGGCAGGGTGGCAGATGCTATGCTGGTACATGGTCAGGTTTATTCATTTACTGTCTATTTGGCAATTTTTATTACAATCTGACCCACTACACTGTTCCATATTCATTTATACTTAACTGCTGAGGTCAATGCCAGAGAAGTACCTAGTTCAAGCCTTGACCATTTCTAGCTGTTGTCACTGAGGTTTGCATCAAGGTGTCTAGGCAAAGACATGAGTATTACCTTGCCTTAGGAAGGGCCAAAATTCACTTCTTACACCTTTTTTTCACCTTTACTGCATCACCCACGTACATACTGACTTAGCCACTGACTGTTCAGGCTGATCATATATTCATTCATCCTATCTCTAACCATGGGGTAAGTGACCTCTTTTATTAAAAACAGAGTATAACAATAATATTTCATCTGATTTAGAAAGCACTTATAATTAATCTGTCACTGGACTGCCAAAATATGTGATATCTTACGTTCTGTTCTGTCCACAACGAAGTGATAATACAGAAGATGGCTGTCTTCTAGGTTGTAGCGCCATGTAATCTGGTAGAAGTTTACCGATGTTTCAGAGGTCTATGCTGCCACCATCATCAGGGCAACTCAGAAGACAGCCATCTTCATACTCAATGCTGTGAAAACCTCAAATCCTTCAAAATGATAATACAGTTCACTGACTAACAACCTCACCATTTGCATTTCTCTTCAAAGCAAGTAGTGATTCAACATTGTGCCTCCTTATGAATGTCATCCCATTTTCTGGTTCTGTTTCATCAGCAGATGTTTCAGATTCTTCAGCTTTTCTGTCCTGTGTTCGATGTTCAATCTTTACACGACTATGGTCTGTTTCTGTCTCCATATCATGGTCTAGTCGACTTGAAATTGGGAAAGCTTTAGCATGGAAAACCTAAAATGAATTATTAGTAACAAGTATACTTAAAACACAGTAGCTGAATCAGCAAAGAAAGTTGAAAGAAGAGGAAAGTATTGGGAATATTATGATTAGTCATATGGTTTTGTAATAAATCCGTATTATTTTAAAAATGTTCAATAGAAGGAACTATAGAATATTTAATCCTCCAAAATAAATACCACCTGCTTTAGCAATCACTAATTTGCATTTCGAAAATAGACTGTGTATAGGCTTTATACTATTTTCAGAACAAAGATTATTTCCATAAATATCATTAACAAATTGATCTCTGAAATAGAGACGACAAGAACTGAATAGTATATTGTCAATGCCAATGTAGGTATTTTGCTTGATTTGAGATAGCATTTATTAAATGTCAAGTCACATGTTTTAAGGATGGAATGGAATTTGAAATATTATTTAGATAAACTTTGTGCTTCACAGGCTTAAGGAAGTGACCAATTAATTTTTAACAGTCCTACTGTTAGGCTGTGCAATACCTTCACTAACACCTCCCAAGGTCTGTAGACATTTTCTTCTTCCACACAGGGTTCAATGAGGGGCTCCCAAGCTCCAACTCTGTCATTATAATATGAGGCCTGCATCTGGATTTCGGCTAAAATAACACAAGTTTAATCAAAATTAGACAAGTGGTTCAAAAGCTACTAGATATGGGAAGACAAAACACATACATACACAATACCATAAGCCTCACTTACGTTAGGAAATTAGAACAAGCCTAAAAATGTGTTTGTCCTTCCCTGGATCTAAACTATCAGGATAAACAAAAATTAAATGTCATTTGTACATAATGTACTACAACAAATTATATAAAGGGCTTTTAAATAAACTGGTCAAATTCGAAGTTCCAACCTACACATCTAAATATGCTGACAAATTTTAAAGACATATTTACCCTTCATGTGCATCTGCTTGGACCAGTCTTTGATACTGGCTTCTACAGATGACTTAAAAAGAAGAACAGGAATCCTATGATTTCCACCTTCAAGCTCAAAAACCACACGTATCTTCGGGACTGCCACTGTGAATGTTTCCCTTGGTCTTCCTTCAGGATATGATGGCTGACCATACAGCAGGGTTTCTAAACATACAAATTTATTATAATATTCAGTATTCAGCAGTATTGGCATCATTAACCTTAAGGAGAATGTAAAAACCAGTAGTAAATTAGTAGGATTTGAAGTTCTCAAGGTGGTGATTACGAACAACAAAAATAGCTGTCTTGTGGATTGTAGTGCCATGTAGTCTGATAGAGGCAAACTTCTACCAGACTACATGGCACTTCAATCCAGAAGACATTCATCTCACTGTTGTAAATTATACAGAGTAAAATACAGGAAGAGAGAAGCTCTGTTAAAAAGCTTGGATGATTAAGTCATAGCAGAATTACAGGTGACTCTCGTTATACATGCTTTTGCTATCCATGTTGTCACATATACATTTTATTTTAGTATCATGAGCATCAATATCATATCTGTGGCCATGGTAAAAGATGTAGCACAGGATCACTAAGTTGTGTGCAGAATTTAACTGTCTTTCTCCTCCATTTTGTCTCTGGGAACTACAAATTAAGGCTTTTTTTTTGTATTTAACAAAAGAATTTACAGACATTTTTAATTATATAAGCCAAATTGTGATGTAAAATGATTACTGAACCAGTTCCATGAGTTCTTTAATACTTACCACAAGTTTCAGGGAAAATGTATGGCTGAATTTTCTTTGGAGACCAGATATCCTCCAAGTCGGTGATATTATGTCCCATTTTTGTTGGTAGTTCTGTTTCTTCAGCTTGAAGTGAGTTCAGGATATCTTCAATCACCTGAACAATGCAAACAATAATTAGCATATAAATGCTAAATAAAACATATGAAAAAATTCATACAAATGCAGGAGCACAAATAAGTTTCATATTACTGTCAGTAAAGGGATCCTGGAAGTCTCAAAAAGAAGACAATTTTGACTTTGACAGCCACTTTCTTAAAAGCAACTCAGCACAGAGACAACATATATATAATATCTCAGATCACCTTTACTGAAACAGATTTTATTTGGAGTACTCACATTGCTGACTGTATGTACAGTGCTGGCTGACAGATGAATATTTACAGTGCTGACAGTTGCTGACACTTTTAGTCCATCTTCCACTGACTTTAAACTCTTAACAAATTCTATATCACATGGATGTAAGACCTGAAAATAAGTTACACAATTTTCATATCTCTTCCAATTATTCTAATCGTGTGCACATTCAGAGCTTCATGGCTTATTAAATTGATTACACACATATAACAATACTTTATCAAGACTGTCATTTTTAACCGTTTCTAAATTATTAAACAATCTAAAACACAATTTTATTTTAAAATCTACAATAAAAGAAGCAGAAACAACTAATACATGGGATATCAAACAGAAAAAATGAAAAAGTCAAAATAAAATTAATGTTGATTAGAAGGAATTCATAAAGTAATACAAGGAAATAATATGAAGGAAAGCGACTGGATACATGCAAAGTTATGGTAAATAAGAATGATGAACATTCAAAAATGGGAACACCACAAAAAGAATAAAAATAAACCCCAATTTTTACCAGATGTGGAGGCTGTTTATTGTGTCCCTGAAGTTTTGAGAGGATCTGTAACCCTGCTAGAGAACAGACCAATGAGTCTCGACCAGGGTGACGACTGTAGTCTACAAGGAATTCAGTACGAAGCAGAAGGGCATGACCACTGTGTTCTGACAAGTCAGCAAACAGCATTATCTCTGGCTTCCTCAGTTGCACTGACACTGACAATCCTGTAGAAGAAACATTATATCAGTTTAACTTTTTGCCATGCTTGATATACTAAAACAGAGTATAGCTTATAAAAGGTATTTAAATTAACTGATCTGACATTATTAAGACACAGATTTTTAAGTGATGCAACAAGTTGCTAAACCTTTCACTTTTATGGATGAAGCTGTTCTGTTAAATATATTTAACAATGATTTCATGTATCAAAAAGTATTATAAAATATGGGACATTAATGCCTTAGATACAAAGTGAGTTTTAAAGTGAAACAAATTATATATATATATATATATATGAATAAAATATTTTAGTGATATACAAATCCTGGCTCAATATATCTCAATGCATAAGTATGGCAATGGTAACTAAATTGAAATCAAAGTGCTGGCTACTTCTATTCTACTAACACAATGAACAATACTGATACAATATACTATAACAAGGAAATGCGGGCTGACACTGTACCATGTCAATTATCATCACATTTCTCAAGATTACGTATGCAAGGCTTCCTGGTATCTGCCTTAGTACTGGAAGCTTCTAAAACTCAGATAAAATAAAAGGCAAATGCATTTACCATGGAAATAACCGAGACATAATGACAGATTTTTAAATACTATTTTTTATATAATTAATGTTCTTTGTTTGTGCACTGTGTAACATTTTAATGATAAAAGATGTACAAAGTCTTTCAAGTTTTAAAAAGCTGTCTTTAACTACTAATTTTAGCAAGCACATATACACTTCTGATCTCTCCCAAGAAAAATAGGTATAAACACATTAAACATGGTTAATGGTAAAATTCAGAAAAACTTACCAGCTAGATCATCAACGTAAGATGCTCCAGATGAGAAATAACCACTGGTACTGTCGGCAGAGCTGGGCGGTCTCTGAGGTACCGGTTTCAAGGTTTCTACTGGAGCTTTGTTCTGCATACAAGTATTATAACACAGATAGGCAACCAATACCACCAATACATTACAAGAATTATAGGCAGTACTGAAAGTATGGATTTGAAAAACATGGTCTTAGAGTTACCTTTGATACACCAGCTTCATATTCCACAAAAACTGGAGAAGTTCAAAAGGAAGACAATGCAATGCATCAACCCAAAAGATTATATTTCTTATAGAAACCAATCAAAATACAGCACTATTCACCTGAACTCCCAAGTCTCCCACATAACCATGGTTTACAACTCCACCATCAGTGGGATGCTCCCCTGGTAAAGAGTCCATCAAGAATCGTCCAAGATTTATAAAAAATGGAACTGACAGATTGAGTCTTATTTTCTCCACAAGGACATCAATGCAGCGATCGCCACTCTGAGTCTGTTTAAAGGTCACATCAATGATTGGTGGAGTGGACACAGAGATGGGACTAGAATCCATCTTCATTTCACCACTGTGGGACTGAAATATTCTGAAAAAAGTAAGACAGTGTTAACCAATTGCTACATAGACTTGAAAGGCATTTTTATCTTGAAATAATCATAAATCAATAATATAGAACACAACAGTATTAAACTCAATTATCATTCATCAAATCACAAGCCTTCAACTTTATGGAATTAGTAGCAACACCAATACTAACTTCTTGATTATAATATTGTCGTGTGGACGGATATCCTCCATGAGGCATGATTGTAGAGCCATCTTCAGTTCCAAACTATGGTCTGTGAAAGTATCCAATGATAATGCTGCTTCTCCAATATCCAATTTGCACAGCCCATGATTCAAGTCTCTCACTGGAGAACTAAGAACCTGTTGAGAGATTACATTGTATTATGAAACTTCACTCAGCAAGGCTTTATGTGGACAGGAAAATATTTGGACCTAAGACAAGAACTAACATGAGACTGAAAATAATAACATAATAAGAAGCTTTTTACTTTATACTCTTCACCTATTATTTGTGATTATGCAGTACAATAATAATTCATTTTAAAGCAGGCCTGAAGATAACTGTAAGAACCTGAAATATGTTGCTTTGATATACCATACTAAATAAATTTATGTGAATGGAAAAACAAATAATGTTATTATTATCAAAGCACCTCATCCATGTCATTGAAGAGGTACAACTGCAGTCCATCTAATGTGAGATGAATGCTGGACTCCCGTCGCACGTGTTCAGTCTGACAGAAAAATGCTTGCAGCTTCTTTACAGTTGAATCCTCTGCTGGATTTATGGGTGTTCGGGGTTCGATGGGGGATGTAGAATCTGAGTTTGGTTGCATATCTAAAGAAATGAAAGAATACAAACATTAATGCGACTAATATATGAGTAGAGAGTGCCACAGTATCACACCTGACTTGTACTTTAAAGACAATGAGTTAAAATTCTGGCAACCCGCATTGGTGTTTTTTATTAATCCCTGTAGATGGATCCTGAAATAGGCTATTATATGTATAACTAATTGGCTATTCATAATCCTTCCTCCATCTTGTAACTATGAAACTTTCGAAAACAGAGAATAATCTCCAGTCAGTTACAACTTAAAATATAGCCTAATAATAAAAGTCTTTATACTTGCTCACCCATAAATCTGTCTTCAGCAAGGTTGTCACTCCAGACTGACAAAAGGGTGGCCAAGTCACGCTGCCCAATGTTAATCCGAACATTTTCCATCCCCCCATCAATTTCATACAGTAATAAATCCCTGTGCAGCTGTAAGTATGGACCAGGTGCAGGGGGCAATGAGTTCATGGTGTGATGATATGCCACCATCCTCTTCACATCAAGTCGTATGCTCATTGGTTCCAAAATTGGTTCCTATGAAGTCAGGTGCATTTATAATATGTCCAAGTACATGACACTAAATCAACACTATACAGTCTGAGCTGCTGATAGCATCATTAAATATAACACAAACAAAATAAGCACGTGACATCAAAGACTGTCCACTTACTTCTCATAATGGAATTATTTAAAAATTAAATTCACAATGTTTTAGGAAGGAATGAACAAAAGGGAAAGGAGACATAGGTAGAGTACTCATGGAAGGACAGAGAACAATGAAAGTCTTTGCATTTGCATAAGATGACCCATCATTTTATATATGTAAATGAACATTACTCTTTAGTCTCTCACTGTCCCCAAAAGTCTGGCTCAATATTATGTCACATGATATTAGCCCATATGTACTGTTACCTTAAAAAGGAATATCCACATATCACTTGTGGAGTAAATGTCTTTGAAGTGAGAGATGAAGACCAGACTTACTTGTATCTCAAGAGAGCCTGCTAGAGTCATGACTGCTCTTGATACTTGCACAGACTCCAAGCGAACCAGAACATTGTCCACAACAGGCACTTCACTGGCTGAGACTGAGGACGATGAACCAGATGTCACATACGGGAAGTGTGAACGTGTCATCTCCTTGAAGAAGTTTTCAACACTCAAGTCACCTATAAATTTAACACAGTACTTTGTACACTCTAATGCATTGCAAACAATCAAAATTACTAACTCATAATTTCTCTCTTGTTTTCTAACTGCTTAGATCATGGTCTTATTGGTGTTGTCCATTTATCAAGCATGAAGGAATATATGTTTCATGTGGAGTGTGCTTAACAAACAATCTGTTCACTTATTTCAGGAATTAATAATTGTATAGTTGGTCAAGAGTACCTACTAAAATATCAGGGACCCAAAACAAATGTAGAACTTCCAAAAACATTTAACCAATGGATACAAACAACAGAATGATTACACACAAAGAGTTCCTTGTTACATCATGACCACAAGAGCCCATGACTTGGTCCTATTCTAAGCGACTTGAATCAAGCTCATATCTTCACAATCTATTTCTAAAAGAACCATTCTATAACAATCCTTATAATGGCATTTTTATCTCCCATTCAGATATTTTCATGACACATTGTATTTCCTGTTTCTTCAATGTGTGCTACTAGCCATAGTCATCTCACAATTATTTTGCTCCACAGAAATATAAGAACTGCCTTTTTGTCTTGAAAGTGAGCAATATTATTTAAATAATGTATTTTATTTAAAATTAACGAGAAACAGTGTTTGAGAATAGCCAGTTTTATATTCTCCTTATATAATTAAAAGTACTGTAACTTTTAATATTTTCAATATCACTAAAGTTCTTAAAATTTAAATTCTGGTTCATTGAAAGTTATAATTCTTATGACTTCAGATAACATCAGATTCAAATATTCAGAATTTTCTCCTAAGCAAAACCTAAACATGAATATGTGAAACAATGCAGAAACAAGTTGCATATTTAAATGTAATAGTTTCAATTAACAAAAACTGTGTTTTGCTAATTTTAGAAGTTAGGAATGGAATTAAAATTTTAATATGCTTCTCTGCCATTATTTCTGACCATAGACGATGAAGAAGCCATTATTTCCCTCTGAAGAAATTCTAAGACTTCCACAAAAAACACCAAAGTCCTATAAACATAGCCTCAGACACACTATGCCTCCCTCTGATTGTGAACTCACCCATATTCAAAACAATGAGATTGGGTGAGGATGACTTCTGTGGCAGAAGAAGTGTTGGAGCATGAAGATCCAGTGAGAGATGCAAGCGAGTACTCCAGCCTCGCAACTGAACAATCTGTTGCTCAGCAGACTTCTCAGCTGCATTTATAACATATGCAGGCACTCCAGGGTGAATGAATGGCTCCATGTAGTGCTGAGAACAGAGGATATATACAATGAAAGCTTCTTAAAATGGAATTTATGATTTAAAAAGTTCAAACATATTGATAGTCATCACAATGAACATTATCCACTTACTTGTAAGTTCACAAGAAGTTTGTAAAGTAACACAACATGGATCCTCCCAATGTGCAACCTGAGACTCCCATCAGACTTCACATCATCTTTATTTGGTCCAAGATCAGACTGAGTGTATAATTTCGGACTGTGTCTCACATATTTAAAGTCAAACACTTTATCTTCTTCAATGGTCAGTATCTGCAAAGCAACAAATTTCTTTCCACATATAAAGTCACAATTATGAAGATAGCCATATTCTGGGATGTGCACTGTGTAGTCTGATAGATATTGAGCAATTTTTCAGATGAGCTTACCATGTTCATCATCAGGGTGATGATCAGAAAGTGACAGAATGCACCAACAAGGGTCCACAATTAGAAAACAGAACATTAAAACTTCTGTCTATGACCAAAATCAATTCTACAAATTTCAGTTCCTACTTTATGAAGACTTTAAATTCATAGAGTATGATTAATATTACTGCCAACACCACTTACTACTCTTCAGACAAGACAAATCTGTGGATGTGTCAAGCATGGTACTAAATGAATGTTTGGTATTCCTGTCAACTGCAAACCATGTTTTGTAGCCAACAATTCTGAATTAACTCTCCCATGATTACTTACAGTTTCTTCTGATGAACACAGACACAGTACTTTAAAACATATTTTATGGCCACATCTAATACATAACTCAAACCAGTAATAATCCTTGCCTAACAGTGCTTAAGCAACTCTCATATAAAAAATATGTTTAACTGCATTACCATTGGCATACAAAGGCCCTTATATAGAATGCTGAAGAGTGATCAAATTAAAATAACTGCAGAAGAAAATAAATAAAATATGTTAACTAAGCTAAGAAAAATTTGAAGTTCAGTCCAAAATATTAAGAACAAGTCTGCATCTGTTACAGATTTCCATATTTAAACCTTTCTTCACATATTTATTGTTATCACTTCCACATGCTACTAATGGTTATTCGAACCCATTTCAGTTCACAGTGCTACTAGACATAAGCATAACTTAAGAAATTCATACCTTTGGATATAAAGTCATATCAGATAGATCATCTACAGCCAGTGTTGTGAGATATATTCTCAGAACCATTCTTTCATTTGCTTTGAACAGACAGTCACTCTCCAAGCCAGCAACCTGAAAGATGCAGACACAATTTCTCACAATATTAACATATTCAATGCCACTATAGATATGGTGATGAAGAGTGAATGATTAAACAAACTATTATAAACATTTTCAACTAAAAAAAGAAGATTTTTATCAAATGCTGCAAGAAATCAGAGTATGGGTGTTCACATATTTATTTATTTGTTTATTCTGATATGTAGTTACAACATGGAAGAAATAACATATTATAAAATAAAATAAGCTTAAAAAGATACTTTTTTAAAAATGTATTTGCTATGATATTACAATTAACACTGATGTGTTGAATATAACAGATAATCTCTGATATTAACATGCAACACATTGTAATTACTTAAACTGAAAGATATAAATTAAGTAATAGTACTGAAAATGATGATTTAATTTATTTTATAAGTACTTCTTCAAAATTTAATTAGTGGAAATACTTTTAAAGATATAATAATCATAAAACTATCAATCAAACCCAAAATTTTGTTACTGTCTTCAGAATTAATTGATGTTCTTCAAATAATATGTGAAATTCGAGTAAATTACACAACCTCATACTTTGTAGTACAATCTGTGAATTTTAAATTATTAATGTGGTGAAGCCAAAACAAATGTTGTAGTTAAGCCAATAGTAATCTTTCTTCTATTTGGGAGACCCCAGGCTCAAATCTCAAACCAGATATTGGTAAACCTGGCTGGGGGTTTTCATGTTTTCCCTTAGATCCTACACACAAACGTACCTTAAATTAAGCCATGACCACTTAAACACACTTCCCAATTCACTTCTTCCAACATCATTTCCAGTTAATTATCCTATCATTTGATTAAATGCTATATAATTTGAGCAACTGAAAGCATCATTAATTAAATCAGTAAACAATCCCAGACATCAGTAACAATTTATCTGTAGCTTGCACAAAATGTTTTACATAAGTAATCTTGAGTGTTGAATGTACATTATTTAATTAATAACCATCACACTACAGGAAAAGTCAGTCAAAGTAATCATTTGTGAAGATTCCATGGAAATTCGATTACATTCACTGGAGATGAGAGAAAATATTTTAATGACATGGCTATGAGATTTCCTTCATGATGATAGGAGGAAGATTCAATGGAACATGTCTTTGTTGGCAATAAACATATTAAGAAGACAACACAGTCTACAAGATGAACCAAAAAATAATGTAAGTACTGACACATACCTTAACCTCAAGGAAGTCCACATCAGTATCACACAGCCTTACTCTGATGTCTCCAAGCCTTGTAGAGTAACTGAATTTAGTGGCACCTGGTGGTATGGGTGGGTCTGCTTCCCCAGAAAACAGCCAAGTCATCATGGTGGGGGATCCATGAACCAAAGGTCGTAAGTGTGTCTCCCTTGTTTGAATCCTGTCAAACATACACTGCACTGATCCCATTCAACAACTTTAATATTTAATACTGTATCAGACCAAATATTAGATGTGTTACTTTATTAGTTGGCTCCTGAATAGGACAGGTGAACACAAAAACATTTAACCTCAGGTTTTCATGGCTAATGTGTAATGTATAACTTTGTCTTTCAATGTTATAGGTTTTCCAACGTTTCAGCAAACACTGCAGTTGCCACCTTCAGGATGAATGTCTGTGGGAGGTTAAAAAATCAGTTATAAAGCTCTAGTATTGTGAAGTGGTAAATGAGTGTTACCTTCCTCCACCACTTCTTACATTTATCAACTTTATCCAACTTTCTCACTTATTGTATTTACTTTTTTCCCTCTGAACTATATGGTTATTCTTCAATTTTTGCTTCTTCCCTTTTATCACATTGTCATCCTCCTTTTTAAGGTCTTTTAATCACATACTTTTCTTTAACCACGTGGGCTCTCCCCTCTGGGCTGCAAGCACCTCACTTCTTAGCTTGCCCTATCATGGTATTCACCTTCCACTGAACTCATCACTGCCAAATCTTTATAAGTACTCCTCTTTCCATCCACACTCACTGTGAAAAACTTTGATATTTTGGCCAACAATGTCCAAGTACTAGAAACACATAATCCTTACACACAGAAATATATCACTACATTGTTTCACAATTATAATTATTACTAATTTATGCCAGCATCTCTATTCAGATTGAAGTAGTTTATACTACTGACAGAAGATAAGAACTTACTTCTGCAGCAGGTACTGCAAATACTTGTTGAGAGTTGAGAAGGCTTCCCTGTGAAACACAACTGAGAGTGATGTAAAGTCCAGAACGAGTGACTGCTCCACACTGTGGAAATGAGACTTGAAGTCTGGGCAGTTTGCTTGCACCTACCCAACAAACAGAACACTGTTTTAAGTCCCTAAGTTCTCATTGCTATCTGCAGTTAATCTTATGTTTTCTTGACCAATGACAATGTTTTAAGATGGACTGGTTTGCCAATGTCTCAGTGAACCTAAGTTTGAACAAATGAACAAACAGTGGTCTAGACAGATTCTCTGAAATGTCAGAAAACTCTGTCTGTCCCACTACCTCCCTTCTCAAAATAAAAAAAGATAAATGGGCCTGAAAAGGGACTGCTTTCCTACTGTGCACACACACAAACACACACACTAATCAGGATATGGAATAGCCAATTGTCTTGTAAACCTGAACTATAAATGTAGGATTTGAGGTTTTCATGACGATGAGTCTGAAGATTGCTGTCTTCTGTTGTTGATGCGCCATGTAGTCTGGTAGGTGTCCACCAATGTTTCAGAGGTCCATGCTGCCTCCATTATCAGCATGGCTTACTCTTCGCCCTGATGATGGAGGCAGCATGGACCTCTGAAACGTTGGTGGATATCTACCAGACTACACGGCACAACAACCCAGAAGACAGCAAACTTCTGAACTATAAACATTATACTCTTAGTTTTAATTTCTGGGTTATGATACTGTGATGTGTTTCTGAGACATTAGCTATTTCTGTCTGCATACTTATAAACACTATACCATTTCCTACAAAATGGTCTTATCGCCCATAAATCAAAAAACAAGTTTCTTCTTTGAACTCAAATCTCATTTTTCTGTCATTTTCTATCTTGGCACCTTCTGTATGCAAACATTCAATTAGAGTATTGGTATATGAACAGTGATAAAAGTTCAGAATAAGTTCAGAAAACAGAAAAAGCACTGACACATTTTCAAATTTTATGAAAGAAAATGAATGCATCCTCTAATTTTAAAATATGTTTTGATTAATCACTTTCAGTTCCCACCTTCCTATACAGTAGTGTTATCATGTCTGCTGCATTATCAGTGGATATCAACTCCAGGTACTCCCCAGAACAACCAGTGTGAATCTTGTCTATAAGATGGATTCCGCCAATGCTGGCTTGAACAGCCGGTCCATATTCCATAACAGCCATGTCCCAGCACACCTTGCTTACTTGCAGCATCAGGTATGGCTTGTCCACCCTGTTGTTGGATCGAGCTAATTGAAGCACGACCTGATAAGAAACACAGACACAGGCACTAACTCCAATGGACCTTCCTTGAACATATAATAATTACTCAGCTGGTCAAAATTTTATTCTTAAGCAACTCAAATGTTCAACAGCATGTTCATTAAAGTTTGCCATTAACCACATACTGAGCCTGTTCAATTGAATTTACAGCTTCAAAATCTATTTCCCCAACATCCATTTCAATAATGTCCTCACCTACATTTAGGTCCCCCAAGTGAGCCCTTTCTCAAAGTTAATCAACCAGCACTGTAATATGACAATGACAAGATCAGATTTAGACAGCAGCAATATCAGTAATGGTGACTAATATCAGCATGGTATCTTACTGTCCTGTAATTTTCTATTCTACACCAGTATTTTTAACAGTCATGTATTCTTAGTTCAGACTTTTAAAATATAAAAATATAAGTGTCTTGGCCATCAGTATTAATATTTGAGGGATATGATGTTTCTTACCTCACCAACAATTAGTCTCAAAAGCATAGTAATAATATTCTGTGGTGAAACATTATCATCAAATCCAGGAAGATCTACGGTGCGTGCCCAAAGTTCATTTTCCTCATCACTATGATCTGATGATATGAAGCTCCTAGAAATAATTATGACATTTCTGAAATAATGTAGCTATACTTCCTACAGGCCACACAATGCATATGGGGGGAAGTCAAGTTGGTCCATCTGTCTACCATATTTCATCTATGACACTTAACAATAGATTTTGATAAAATATGGTGTTGTAGGGTCTCCACAAAATGTAACCCCCAACTTTACATAAAGCTGAAAATGAACATATGGATTTTCTCAAAGTTGCTGATTATGAAAAACACTGATATATAACATATAATACAAATATCATTAAAATCTAGGTCTTGTATTTGAAATATCATTTAATACAGCCGAATATACAAAGAAAAATAATTTCATATACTCTGCACAGCAATTAGCTGTCATGTAAATAGCTCTGCAGTAACAGATTTGTATCTCCAATAAATAAACATCAGAATTAATGAGGAAAGCAAATAATAAAAGACATATTTATAACATGTGTACTCCATTAGGGTACGCCTTCCAACTCGTGGTAATGTTATTCTAAAAATATCATGCAGATCTTCAATTACAGTACAGACATCAATAAGTCCTTTACTCACTTCTCAACCTCAAGCATTGCCAACTTCGCTGCTGACTTGTCAAAATGTTCATTCTTCTTCTCTTGTCGAGACATCTCAGCCATTACAACAGTCTTCTTGATCTGGAGAAGCTGTGTGCTGCTGAATTCAGGCATGATCCTGTCAGTTATTATTAGTCTTGCCATATTTTTATCTGCAGCAACCTCTCTTTCTAGCACAGAATCCACCTCAGATACTCTTAGTGTATTGGGAGAAGGTAATGGCAGGTTATCCAGGAAATCCAGCACCATTCCAATTTTACGGTCTGACAAATTTAACTTCAGACTTGAAATTGAAAAGTTCAATTTGTGTCTGAAAAACACAAATTAGAAACATATAACTTTGTAGAATTTGAGGTTTTCATAGCAGTGAGTATAAGAGTGGCTGTCTGCTGGGTTGTAGCTCCATCATCAGGGTGATGACCCATTGCCCTGATGATGGAGGTAGCAAAGACCTCTGAAATGTTGGTAAACTTCTACAAGACTACAAAGCGCTACAACCCTGAAGACAGTCATCAGCATATAACTTCATAAAACAGCTGTAAAGTTACAAGACTCTAGAGAATGTTTTATTTAAATTCAAATGTTTCAATTATTGCAAAATCAACATATGTCACTTTTCTGAAAATTGAATTAATGGCTGAAATGTATCCTAAGACATTCTCAAAGCTTGTTCAATAATATATGGCTTACAACAGTGAATGCCAAAAGAGATGATGTTGAATTTTCATATACAGATGAGGGCACAAATAGTCTGTACATCATTTCTGTTTATCTCCAAAAATTATAAATTATTAACTTAGAAGAGGCAGATACTTGGAAAGAACTCTAGAAAAGAAATATCCTGTTTTCTAACACAGATGACTCTTGTTATACATGCTTTCACTGTCCCTGTTTTCACATATCCATGGTTTTACATCAAAATCATGAGGAACATCAATATCCTATCAGTAACCACAGTAAAAGTTGTCACACAAGCCCAGTGAATTGTGTGCACAGTTTCACTTACTCCACCATTCTGATTCTGGGGACTACAAATTAAGACCTCCCACGGTGTATCACTCAGAAATCAATGAGCATGTTATATGTTTCCTGTTCTATACATCTTTTATACATACAGTAATTTACAGGAAAGCAAACCTCTCATACAACAAGAGTCACCTGTAACAGAGCAAGTACTTCCAATAAAAGGATAAATGATGATAAATAGCTATTGCAAATCTGGATGTGGAAATTACATTTAATATTAACACAATAAATTTAGTTCTGTTCTCTATAAACTTACCTAGGAAGTAGCCTGTATTCAGGTTTCACACTATTGGAAAAAACAACCTGACAACGAATCTTTGGGACTAAATGATAATCTGTGTCCTGCAGTTTCCTGGCATCCCTCCATTCTTCACCTTAAATGTAAATAATTACCGTTAATACAAGATTACAACTTTGTATACATATTGTCTTTGGTATACTATGCTTTTAATAATATGTCATAACCAAACTGTATCATTACAATGTCAGTTCATCTTGAAACGCTACCTGAATCGCAGAAAAGGAGCTGCAGATCTGAGAAATCTATGTGAAGTCTGTCATATAACCTCTCTTCCAACTCCATTTGTGTAGCATCTTCAAGGCCTACATTCTCAGACTGCAAATCACTCTTTATTACCACTCGTCCAAAGTCCACCACCACAATACTGCCACCCCTGGAAGGAAGAACATAGACTAGAATGGTATTATTAAATTAATTCATTTTGACCTCTTTCATGAAACTATCAATAATAACTTATCAAAATAGAGGAACATTGTTTCATGTTATGTAAATTATATAAAGTTCCTTGAGCCAATTTTACACAAAATAAAAACCTGACAAGTCAAACATAAGCTGGATAAGGTGAGAAAAGCACATTAACAATGGCAATGACAAAACACAAAAAACAAATCTTTTCCACGCTACAAATTTCAACAAGGAAAACATTATAGTAAACAACAGATGAAAGTGTGTGAAAATCTATAACAAACAAAACTGCTGTCTGCAATCTTTCTTTAATTTTGATACTTATAAATTATACTGTCTAGTCAAAATATTATAGGAAAAATTTAATTATTACAAGCTTAGCCTTCAATTTATAAACTTATTCATATACCACTTGTCTTCAATTACCATATGGATTATAACTCACACAAAACTCATACAGAGTTGAGCTCCTGTCATACTGATCCCAGCGATCATACTGTCCACATTCCCTCTCAATGCAAGCGCTTAACAACAAGATACTTAGAAACTTACTTCTGAACAGATCCAAGTTCTGGTACTACAAAGTATGGACCTTTAAGGTCCATGTTGATATCGATGGTTTTACGGCGAGCAATTGCATACTCGACCAATGCCCTTCCCACTTCACTAGCTTTAGAGATTCCCTGTTTGGAGAAGTCCATTGCATCTTGAAGTGTCACAGACCTTGTTTGGAAGAAGTTTATGATTTCTGAAACAGCATGCTAGAAAAAAGGTAAAGTGAAATAGAGTACCTATAGAATGTTAAGATAATATAACAGCAAAAATAAAATGTAATTCATATTGCTGCTTGATATACATTTACCTCATGATACACAATTTCCACTGGCTCTAAACTGACACCAAGTCCAAAGTCTGCTTCACAATTTAATGGATGTTTCTCAAAGTCTACAGCAAGAAAATTTGATGATGTATTGCCTGGAATTAAAAATAATATTTCACTTAAACAAGAATGACAGAAATATAAAGTTTAGGTAAAAACAACCTTAAAAAGGAATGTTTGTTGAGCCTGTAACTGTTTACCACATAATACATTCTTAAACACTACGACTCTTCCTTTTAAATTATGAGTAACCATATGAATATATAAACTACATTTCATATGAGAAAATGATCATTCAGACATACCTGAAAGAATATTATCTGCTGTAACCATAGGAATGAGGTCATTTTCCACACTTGCTCCTTCAACAACAAAACTTTCTGCACGTGCTGAAACTTTGAATGCCTGTGCCGATGGTCTGGTCTCCAGACTTGCAAGAAACTGAGTCAGCGTCACCACAAGTACTTCTCTTCTGTGATTCACTAGGCTGAGTGAACAGTTGGCCAGTGTAAAATTGAATTTGTGTTCTACAAGACAAGGCATACAGTTATATACAGGGCAGTAGGGATCAATTTTATTAGTCGTATAATACAATAAATTACTGTCCAACTACAAGACCAAGAAGTTCATCACGAGAAAGTCATATTATAGTACAACAACTGAAAATATGGTTCTGAAAACAAAAGAGACAGTCATTTGTTGCCTCTGTGCTATAATATATCATTATGTTCCTCCATTTCAAGTGAGCGTTCCCTCTCAGCTTATTTACACTTCATTGAAATACAAGTATAGTTGTGATCAAAATGTTACCAGTAACAGTAATAATGACCCTTTCTCTCCATAGACTGTATTCTCCAGTTTTAAGTAAGTAATCTTTTCTTTTGGGCTAATTTATATATTTCCAGAATGAAAGCACTATTATCTTCTACACACACACACATTTTTTTGGAGATACAGAGAAAGTACAATATTCCAAGCATAAATGAAATGAATATATGAAACTATAAATTCATGGTGAATAAAACACTTTTTTTTGCAACTTCCATTTCATCCATTTTCAAACACAGTGACTTTTGATAAATATAATATTACCACTGTTATATATTCATTCATTTAAACTTCAATAGATTAATATAATAATCTGCTGTTATTATACAGTAAAAATTGTTCTTTTAACCTAAATCAGGCAGAAGTCCCAATTTGTGAACATATTTTTGTAAGCACTGTTCATTTCTTATCAATGAACTTAATAACATCAATCATTTATTTTGAGAACATCAGACCAATACCGAACTGAGGTAAAAATAATTCAGGCCAAACTAACACCCAGAAAATAAATCCAAGAATTAAATGGTACCAATGTTAATTTGAGGAAATTGAACCCCAATCTCTCTCACTAACTCATTCACTCTATCACACTACTATTATTATTATGGTTATGGTTAGATGGAAAGTAGAACAGAGGATTGGCTCTGGCACTGGCCACCATCCTTCACCTGTATATTGTTTTGGCTTATGTGGTCTTGCAGCTCCTTCCACATAGCCAATTGCTTCACACAGTTTCTTCTTTTCTGCAAGTGACAGCTGTGCCCAGAGACCACGTTCCTTCTCAGTCCGTACTTGCATTTCAACAGACTTTTCTTGAACCAAAATATCCCACCACTTTGCTTCATTTTCATGTACTAAAATGTGCTCGGGATCTTCATGGTAAAGCTAAGAAGTACAAGAATTGAAAAACATTAAAGATTATACAATAAAACACATAATTCGCTTATTTAAGAATTCAATTAGTAAATTATGCATACAGGAAATTTACAATATAAATTACCATTACAATATAAGTTACCATATAAATTAAACCTGTAACATACCTCAATCTTGGCATGTTCTCTTGCAACTACGATGTCTATAATTGCAAGCTGATCCTCCAGTAGCTGTAAGTCCAGTCTTAGTTCTGTGTCATTGGGACTCAGCAGTGTTTTCTTATATGTGTTCTTGTATTTTCGGTAATGTTCCCTGAAACAATAAAGTTGTATTAAGAATATTAAAATTAATATCATCCCATCAACAATTTTTTTATATAAAGAAGTCCTTAAAATTGTCTGATCAAAATTAAAATTAAAATTATTCAACAATTTTCACAAAATTCCCCAATATTAAATTTCATAAAAATCTGTTCATCCATTCTTAAGTTGTTACAGGCACACATACAGATGGATACACAGGTTAATAATGTTATTTTAACAAGCAGCTTACAGGAATGTGACCATGCCAAAAAAATATACATTCAATGCTTAAATATTTATTTGCTTGTTTCATAAAGTTTTACATTCCATGTCTTGCTACAAGCCTCAAGGACAGGATTATAATGTGAGTACAGGTAATCATAAATGATAATTTACAAACATTGGAAAAATATCATGGTACACTGTATCCCCCCCCCCCCCCCCC